TGGTCTCTGGTGTGGCCCCAGCTTCAGAGGAAACTTGAGGCCTCAGGGTCTGGACTTTAGGGTTGGCCTGGGTAGGGGTAGAAACCAGCTCACCATGAGTGGGTGCAGTTGCCATCAGCCCTGGGCAGTTGACATTGCAGGTGGTTCCCCAGGGCCTCCACCCTGGCCAGGGCTGCAGTGCGGGTCAGCTGCCCTGTGGGCCCTATGGGCAAGTGAGCTGAGGCTCAGGGCTCTGGGGCTGGGACACAGAAACGGAGCTCGGGAGCAATCCTGGCAAGTCTACTTTATCTGAGGGCAGGGACGGAGGACAGTGGGCACCATTTAGGTGACTGACCCAGCTGGCCAGGGACCTGCCCCAGGGCTTCGTGATGATCTGTCACCAGCTCCTTGTGGAAGGACCCCCAGGCAGCCTCAGGGCTGGGGTGGTGCAGGACAAACAGGACGACCCTCCCACTCACCCCAGAAACAGCCACGCACCGGCCTCGGAGAAACAGAACCAGACGCCCCCAGCCCCACACAGTCAGGCCTGGGCCTGGCGGGGAAGGCAAGGCTGGGAGCAATGGCTCTGCCTGAGCCCCGTTTCAGTCCCCAGAACAAACCTATCTCCCTTCTCAACCCTGGCCCCTCTGACCTGCCCTCCACCTCCTCTGGCCCCCTGCCTCTCCCAGGGCCTGGGTCCCTGCCCAGCCCACTTCCCTGAACCCCATGGTGTGTCCTTCAACCATGTGCCAAGTGCAGGCTCCTTGCCAGGCGGTGCTCACCCACCCTGCAGGTCCTCTCTAATTCAGGCTGATTCCATGATGGGGTGTTGGAGAATGTGGGGAGATTAGGGCTCCTGCCTAGGTCTGGCTGGGTGGCCCTCATTTCACCCCGCACCCTGCCCTGCAGGGCAGAGGCACATGGGGTCCCCATATTTACCTAACCTTGCCTCCTCCACAGGTGACAAATCGTTACCTGTCCCAGTTGAAAGATGCCCACAGGTCCCACCCCTTCATCAAGGAGTACCAAGCGAAGGTGAGCCCTTGTAGGTGGCCCGTCTCTGAGCCCCAGACCTCCCAGGCCCTGTCAGGCAAGACCTGGAACTCGGGACCTGGCTCAGAATTTCTCCTTTTTCTCTTTCTGCCCCTTGCCGCCCCCGATTCATGCTGAAGGAGAACGACTTTGACCGGCTGGTGCTGCAGTACGCCCCCAGCGCCTGAGGCCGGCCCCAGAAGCTCTTCCTGAGCCGTGGGAATACAGGGCCAGGGCCGTGCTGTCCTCTCCACCAGGCACTTCTGTTTGGCCAGAAGCAGAGGCTGGAAGCCCAGCCCAGCCTCGCTTTTGTCAATAAACGTCTCCACCCCAGTTATCCCCACCCGATCTGTGTTTGCTCTAGTCACTTTGATGGGGGCATGTGGGAACCAAGGCCTGGTTGGGAGGGGCCTGGGCACCACTGACCAGGGCTATTCCTGGCAGAGGGCCCTGGTGACCAGGGTCTGTGAACAACAGCTGCAGACTCTTCCTGCCCCTTCAAACAGCCACCCTGTGCTGCCAAGCTGCGGGTGCCACAGCCGTGCCACCCCAGGCCCAGCTGGCATCCAGAGAAACTGAGCCACAGATCACAGCCATTGCAAGGGGCATCAGGATTCAAACACAGAACCCCTGGGTGATCTGGAGGTGGTGAGGATACTGGAAGCACAGGCCTCAGCAGGGAGTGGGGTGTGCTGGGTCCTCACAGAAGTAAACATCAACTCCCCAGGTCCCTACTCCTCTCCATCCTGTGGTGAGTCATGAGCCAAGACAGACCTGCTGTGGTTGGGCCTTGGGTGCTTGAGCATCGCTGTGCCAAAACAGCAAGCCCCCTGCCCTGAGAGAGAAATGCGTAGTGTGCACCGTGCAGTAAGAAGCTAGACAACAGAGAGCGGTCGTGGGAGTTAGCTGTGGCCTCTGAGATGAGGTCACCACTGAGCTGTGTCCACTGGAACAAGGATCTGCAAGGCCAGGTTCTGAGGGGAAGAGCACCCTGGGCTGTAGGAACAGCCCATGCAAAGGCCCTGAGGCTGCACTGGACTCAGTGAGCTGGACAGGTCTTTGTCTCTGGGCCAGCATCTGAGTAGGGAAAGAAAGAAGATATTTGGGCTTTCAGAGCCTGATCTTATCTGCCTCAGAGGTGGTCTCGGGAAACCCAGTCCTTGGTTGCCAAGACAGGACATAGAGCAAGGGACCTCCCAGCAGCAGGGCCTGCCCCCAGCCTCTCCCTGCCTGGTGGGGAGCTCAGCAGGGAAGAGAGGTGGCTGAGAAGGCTTCACAGGGCAGGGATATCAATCAAGGGCAGTGGTGTGGTGGAGGGAGACTGAGATGATCTCCTTAGGGAAGAGGCAGTAGGGGTACTATCCTTGAGACCTCAGCAACCCTTCACTGAGCCCCTGGTTCCTGGGAGCCCTGGTCTTCAGCTGCCAGCACCAGGAACCACTTTCCAATTCTGCTTTGCAGCCACCTGTTGGCAGCCTCCTACCTGGGCCCTGCCAAAATGAAACTGGAGGCTGGGCTGGGGCTGGTGGGTTGGGGCACGTCTCTCATTACTGATGGGTTCCATGGTGACCAGATAGTGCCTTTCAAGGGAGGGCAGAGATGGGTGGTTGGGATGGTACAGGGCTGCCCCACAGGCCCGGCTGGACCTACAGGGGCATGTCCAGCAGCCTGGGACCCCTTAGCCCCACCTCTGCTTGCCAGGTTGGCTGTGGCATTAGTCATCTAATGGGACAGATGAACCCCTACCCACATGGAGTGCACATTCAAAAATACTGAGAGGAGAAGGCACAGCAGGACAGATGGTGATAAGTGCCAAGGACAAGACTGATAGGGGGGTCAGGGATGTGCAATGAGCAGGTAACATTTGTTGGTAATGCCAGAAGTTGGTGGAGGAGCCCTGCCAGTACTTGAGGGAACAGCATTTTAGGCAGAGGGAACAGCTAGTGCAAATGCCCTGAGGCAGGACTGTGCCTGTGGTGTTAGAGAGCCACCTCCAGCTTAGAGGACAGTATGGCTAGGAACAGAGGGAGCAAGGTGGAGAGAGGAGGGTATGAGGGTGGATTGTGAGTCAACAGTGAGGAGATGGGCTTTTACTCTAATGGGAGCATGGAAGGCTGTGAGCAGAGGACGGACAAGTAGGCTCCCTCTGGCTTCTGTGTGGGGTAAGGGGGAGGCCAGATACTAGGCAGGAGGCATAATGGTGGCCCAGGGTTGCATAAGGCTGTACAGGTGCAGAGAAGTAGCTGGATTTGTGAACATTTGATGGTAGCATGAACTGCATGTGTATGCAGGACTCAATGATGAGTGAGGGGAAGGAGGAGAGGGATGAGCATCTGCTCGGCCTCCCTTCCATTTTCACCTGAAGGTCAGGTCAGGCTGCTGACCTTAGGGGACCCAGCCCAGCTCCTGCAGGGCTCACACTGATACCTGCACCCTGCACCTTGAAAGGCTGTAGGAGGACTCCTAGATAAGGGAAGGGAGGGGCACAGGTGTGCCAGAGTCCTGAGGGCTGGGATGAGGGCTATCAGTGGCAGGTGAGGCGGTGTCCCCAAGAGGTGACCATTGCCTTCCCTGATGGCCACTGGGGGCTTTGGACTCAGGGCTTGGTCATGGATAGTGGAAGATCACAGCGGGAGAGACGGGGCTTCTCATGAAGGTGTGGTCTTGATCCAGCCTCTGAGTGCCCCTACATGGGTGCCCATTTTCTTGGCCTCCCTGAAGCCCTGTGTTAACCTCCTGCAGGGAGGCCTGCCAGGTTCTCAGGGTCACAGAAAGAAGCAGGTGGCCCTCAGACCAGGAGTGGTGAGTTCCCAGTGTGGGACAGGGCCGGAGAGGCATGCTAGAGGGAGTCAACAGTCGAGGGCACGGCCTGTTGGTGCCCCCACTCCGCTCCCACCCTGCCTTGTGCCCCATGTCGGGGACACAGCCTGGTAGGGTAGAGGAGCCCAGCGTGGGCAAGGGGGTCCAGGCGGAGAACGAGGGTGGGGACACAGGACTGCTCCGACCCTACTCAGGTTCAGACCTGGCGGATGCTGGGAAGACACCAATGCCCCTCCACCTCCACTCCGCTCCCGGGTTCCTCTGTTGGAAAATGAGCCCTAGAGCGGGCCCGCCTCCAGGATACGGCACGACAACGCCGGAACTTACACGCCCGAGGTCGCCGCCGCTGCCACTGGGGGACCCAGCTCCCGCGCGCCCTGAAATCGCGGACACGGCGCCTCAT